TTGAATTTGGTTGCGACGATGATACCTCGCTCTGACGAAAGCTTAGCACCTTTTCACCGGAATCCAAAGAGATTGCCTCGGAAACAGCGTCAACAAGAATGCTCCAGTAAAGCCAATCAACAGCTGATCAAGAGGAGTCCGCCGTCGTCTTCTGGTGGAACCGACCTTCGAATCTCTTCACCGCACACTTTCACTCGAAATGGAAGTAAGCTCAACAAACTCACTTTAATCAAACGGTCTCCCAGCTTCAGTCTGCCATCTTTCACGGCAGCGCCTCCTGGGATCAGGCTCTTTACCACGATAATTGGGGCTCTCGATCTGCCTGAATGTCTTTCTTCTTCGCCATCGTTGCCCTCCCCACCTTCCTGCTCGTCTCCAGGACATGCATGTCGAGTCTGCAGCCACCTTCTCTCTCGGTCACTTGATCGTGGAAATGAAGGGTCAGCCTCTCCGCCGTCTTCAGCCGACCGATTATTTCTCTCTTTGCCCAAATCCCTCTTCTCCTCGCCCTTCAGGCCAGTCTGGTAGGCCTCCTCTTCTCCCAGTTCACGGCGACTCGTTGACTGCCTCAGAGACTCAACTTTGAGGCCACAGCTGCTCACTTTTGTCCCATCTTTACGACCCTCCCTCCGAAGTCGCCTCAGACTACCCAATCGGGCTTCTTCGCTTTGCTCCTCCCTATCCCCTTCGTCAGCTTGCTCTATACCCTCTACGTCCTCATCTCTACTTTCGACAGGTTCCTCTTCAGCTGTCTCGCCACTCATTCGCCATCCAGTCGCCCTGGCAGAGCCGTCCGTGCTGTTCACGAGAGTGGTAAGGCTGAAACCGAGTCCAGTTGAGACTAAAAATAAATACAAATAAACGAATACATAAATATCATATATGAATATATGTAGAATAAAAATATAACACAATATATATTATATTGCATTATATTATATATAGTGTATTGCAAATATTATATAATATTAATCTAATGGTGCTGGGGGGACTTGCATTTCGTATGAAGGTGCATAAAGAAGAGATTCATAGGTCGATCTCACCAGAAGAGGGTGGCTCAATCCCGTTGTACTTCAGCCGTTTGGTTTAACCCGTTTCATACGAAATGAAAGTCCCCCAACAATGTTATCTCAAGAGATTCATCGAAACCCAGTTACTCTTCGTATCTACGATCCAATGGTGCCGGAACTATATACGGGTATCATAAGCATGTAGAGTTGTGTACAGAGCGGATGTTGAATGATGCATCTGGCATTCTGGAGTAGTAAACCAAAAGTAGATTTCGATACTATCAGTACTTTTTGAATAAGGTGAGCTCAAGACTGATATTTGACTTTTTCCACAATAAAATGGTATATTGCATATCACACATTATCCAATATTAATATTGCAAGAACTGAACATTGGCATCCTGCGCATGCAAAGTGGTGTACAGTGCAGATGTTGAATAAGGCTGCTAACTATAAAAAATGATATAAATTCCGAGACCTTCGGCTTGGTTCGCCTAAGGCTAGTGTTAAGAATGACGAGATGCACTGACGATGCCGGCTGCGATGACGAGGAAACGTTTGGAAGTTCTCATGACTACGAAGGCAGAATACT